ATGTGTGTGTGTGTCCTGAACAGACAAAAGAAACAGATGGACAGGGGGATTGGGTTTGAAAACTACCTCAGAGGGGTCAAATCAGAAGGCCTGGCCAGTAATCTGCAGAAGCAAGAGGGAGAAGGCCACCCTGGTGTCCAGCCTGGGTCACAGGGTGACTGACAGATGGACTAAGAGAGAGCAGAAGTACCGCCTTAGTTTTTCAAGACCTGAGAAGTTTATTACACTTGGCTCTGGTGAAAACTGAGATGAGAGTTGGGTCAAGGTGCTGTTGTCAGGCACTTGCCAATTGGCTCTGACTCACAGCGACCTTATATGTAACAGAAGGAAATGTTGCCCAGTCCTGTGCCATTCTCACAGTCACTGCCGGGCTGGAGTCCATTGTTACAGGCACTGTATCGATTCATCTTGTAGAAGGTCTTCCTCTCTGTCACTGATCTTCTACTTTACCAAGCATGATGGCCTTCTTCAGGGACTGGTCCCTCCTGATAACATGTCCCAAGTACGTAAGATGAAGTCTTGCCATCTTTGCTTCTATAGAACATTCTTGCTGTATGTCTTCCAGGACAGATTTGCTTGCTCTCCCAGCAGTCCATGGTATATTCAATATTCTTTGCTGACACCATAACTGAAATGTTTTTTTCCCACTTCCTATTTCATTGGTCAGCTTTCACATGCATATGTGGTGATTGACAAGGTCATGGCTTGAATCAAGCAAACTGTAGTCACCAGAGTGACATCTTTGGTTTGTAGGGTTTTAGAGAGGTCTTTTGCTGCAGAGTTGTCCAATGCACCATGCCATTTGATTTCTTGACTGCTGCTTCCATGGGTGTTGACTGTTGATCCAAGTAAAATGAAATTCTCAACAACTTCCATTTTTCATGCTTTGTCATGTTGCTGTTTATGGGACCAGGTCAAGGTGAAGAAAGGTAAATGCAAACAGGTTCAGCCTCCAAAGGTGCATCTGGCCTAAAGCAATTTGTACCTACTTCTAAGGGTGGGGCTTAAATGTGAGAACTCATGTGAAGAACTCACTAACCTAACATCATCACCATCAACCACTGTATGAGATGCCATCATCCGATGACCTTCCGTTATCATCTCTGTCTCTCCTGGCTCCCCTTGGACACCACATCCTGGGGCTTCGATGGCTTCATCCAAGCTTTACTGTCAAAAACCAACAGGATATAAATCTGCAGATGAGCTGTTCTTGTCACCCCAGTGACAAAGGGCCTTGGATGATTTACAGCCAAAATATGCTTTTCTCCATAATGGCTCCTGGAGTTGCCAGGAATAGTACATTTACTAAAATTAATGGAAAAATCTCATTTTTTTCTTTTTTCCAGGAAGAGAAGTTTCATCAGTGGAGTAATTGATCCTGATCTGGATGTGCCCGTGAAAGGGCTGGGGGTATAAATCATTCATACGAAACAACTCAACACCAACAGTGAAGAATGCTCCAGGCTGGGGACAGGTGGAAAGGAACGAGGAAGATCCACCAACATCCTTCTTGCTTCTCTCCATGTTTTTCTGACACCCCCAGCAGAGTCATTTGTCAGCAGGCCTGGTGGGAAGGGCAGTGTGGTGTGACAGGGACAGCTTCAGAGGTGGGCATATAGGGATGACAATCTGAGCTCTGCCACTCTTCAACTCTGCAGCCCTGGGCAGGCCATGTCAACATCTCTGCACCTCCATGTCCTCACCTGTAAAAACAGAGCTGTGCCCACCTCCAGCGTTGATGTATGTGTCAAAGAAGACAACCATGCAAAGGGACCAATCATAGAATGACTCAGTGTTTCCTGAGGGATGAATGAATGAACAAATGCAGACTCGGACTGTGGAGAAGTCCATTCTATTTTCCTAAGAGGGAAATTTGTATCTTAAAAATGAAAGAAGAAACAGGCAATGCTTAAGCCAAAGAAATGAATTGGTGGTGGAGGTACTGGGCAGAGGAGAGATTTGGTGCCAGGTGGCCTTCTAAGATAGATCCCTGGGTGGTGCAAACAGTTTGCACTTTACTGCTATCCTGAAGGTTGGCAGTTTGAACCCACCCAGTGGCACCATGGAAGAAAGGTCTGGAAATCTGTTTCTGGGAAGATCACAGGCAAGAAAACCCTACACAGCAGTTTCACTCTGTAACACATGGATGCCATGAGTCAGAATCGATTCGACAGAAGCTACTTTGGCTTTCCATTGGTTTGGTCTTCCAAGAATTCCCCAAACCACAGTATATAGATCCTTCGCTTGGTCTGCAGATACTCTGAGCTCCCTTCACAGAGGAAACTCTAAGAAATACACTAGTGATGGCCCTTAACAGTATCTCCCCACACAGTGGGAGCTCCTCGAGGGGTAGGGTGGGTCTTGTTCCCCAAAGGATCTCCAGTGCCTAACATGAAGCTTGACCCATAGTGTAAGCTACAGATACACAGTGGATCAATAAATGAACCAGAACTCTCATGGCCTTGCAGGGTTTTAGTGATGATTAAAAAGAATGTATGGCACCAAGCAGCTGTTCTACTGTCTTACAGGGATGGGATGGAAGAAGGCAAAATGTTGACATGGAACTAGATAGGTGAGATGATCTCTTCTAAGAAGCCTAGGAAACTATTAGGATGCCAGGCCAACAGGAGGGGCCTCAGGCACAGGGCTTATCTCAAAATGACAGTGCTCATTTAACTCTTACAAGGGGTTCTGTCTACACTGTGAGCTTCTACAAAGCAGGGCACTTATGCTTCCTTGTCCTTTTCACCAATGCCTAGCCCCGTGTCACACCCCTAGTTGGTGCTAAGAGATACGTGTTGAATGAGTAAGTGACTAAATGAGCAATATATGAAAATATGGCTTTCTTGCTTCTCCGAAAGGAAATTTCCCAGGGCCCAAAGTCAAAAATAGGTTGGTGAGTTTGGATATCCACTGTTGGGAAGAGACTGCTAGCCTGACAGTGTCCTCTTGTGCACTGTTCACCCCAATAGGCAGCAGTGGGTCACCCAATAGGTAGACAATGTTCAGACTTAGGATCCCAGCCAAGCTGGAAGATGTCCTCTCCTCCCAACCACAAACACACTACAACAGAGAAAAGTTCAGTCTCAATACACTTATCCAGAATCTTACAATTGGAACACAGAGAAAGATGCAGGTTGAATTTCGTCATACATGCAAGCTTTGTGTTTTACAGGTTTGTATCATTTTCATTTTGTTCTACCTATAGCATCGCACCATAATCTTTTTGTATTTGGGGTTCTTTAAAAGTCTTAATCTAGGCCTGGAAATGGGGATCGGGAAAGGAAAGAGAGGGAGGTGAGAGAGAGCAAAGACAGGGGGAAAGAGAGCAAGGGACAGAAGGCCACCACCCCTGGACCTGCCCAGAATGCCTGGTGCCTGGCCAGTAAAGACAACATCAGAAGAGAGAGGCTGGGGACATTCTCTTGCTGCAAGGCAGAGCATGCAGGAGGGGAACCCACTTCACTAGAAGCAGGGCTGGTTAATGAGGGAGTTATCTTGTCATAGGCAAGAAAGAGTCTTCCTTCTCCCAGGGCCATGAGGATGGAGGAGCCGCCAGTCAGAGGCCTAGACCTGGTCTGGGAACCTCATTCTCTGTGTGGTGCCTCCCCCACACCAAACAGCCAGGCTGTCCTCAGGCCTGTCAAACGCAAAGCTGATGGGAGTGACACAGGCCCTGGGAGGCAGTGGCCCGAGAAATATATTTGCCGCAGGAGGACAAGCCAGTGAGAACTGTCACAAAGCCAGAGTAGACACGGTGGGGAAAGCATGACTGGGATTAAGAGACCTCTGGGGCAAGCCCTGGTGGTACAGTGGTTAAAGCACTTGGTTGCTAATCAAAAGGTTAGCAGTTTGACTCCACCAGCTTCTCCATAAAGTGTATAGCCTTAATGACCCTGTGGGGCAGTTCTACTGTCCTAGAAGGTTGCTATGAGTTGGACTCGACTTGCTGGCATTGGTTTCTGGGCCAAGCCTCAGAACCCTGTGGTTTGTCTCAGTGAGGGTTCTATAGTGGTCAGCAAGGGGCAGGGCCCGAGGCCATCCATGTTCACAGAATCCCAAATCTGGAGTCTTGAGGATGTCTCGGCTGGAACAGAAAAGGTGGACCGGGCTCCCTCAGATGCTCAGTCATCCTTGCAGGAAATTGTTCTCAGAAAAATGCACTGATGGAGAACCTTCCCCCTGGCAGGAACGCATTTAAATTGCGCCTTGGGCCACCCCACAGGCAAAGCATGGTTTAGTGGCTAGAAGAGTAGACTACAGAGTTGGACAGACCTGGGTTTAAGTTCTTACTAGCCTGCGGCCTTGAGCAAGTGACTGCAGAGAGCTGAGCCTTGACTCAGGCAAGTAGATGGCCCTATGCCTCAGTTTCTCCATATGTAAAATGGAGATACGACTAGTATTTACTTCACTGGGCTGATGAGGGTTTAAATGAAGAATTTTTAACACAGAACCGGACATGGTAAGTGTTCAATACATGGTGGCTTTATCATTATTTTTGTTGTTAACGGCCCCCAAAATAGTTCTGATGCTGAGTAGGTGTCACTACTTACCTTTCTGAAGTCTGTTTCCTCATCTGTAAAATGGGGATAATATTTCTGACGTAATGGGGTTAGTACAAGGATTATAGGAGATAAGACACAACGTACACATTCAACAGCCATTGACTCCCTTCTTTTACTCTGAGTGGAACGTGCAAGGCAGGAAAGGGAAGTCTGGGGTCTGGGACATAAGCGTGTTTGCCAACCATTCAGCAAAAATGAATGCCATTGGTCCACCGTAGGCCTGCCCTGCCCCCAAGGGCTTGCAGCCAATGACAGGTCGTCTCTCTGCCCATCTGGGGCAGTCTTCTCCTTACTTCCTGCCTATTCCAGAAGACTGGAAGACAAGCACATTACCCTTCCGTTCCAAGACTTTCGTCCCCGTGGACCACGTAAAGAAGAACTCTCCATTCCAAACTCTCAATACCAAAGAGGTCCCAGGCAGGCCTGCGGACTCACCAGCTCCATGCAGCGCCGGCTCGCCTCTGCCTCCCGCTGCACCAGCTCTTCCATGTCCGCCTTCAGCTCCTCCAGGCGCCGCTGGTAATAGCGGCTGCTCTCCCGCTGCTGGGACTCGGAGGCTGCTGCTTGCGAGAGCTCCTCGCCCATCTTGATCAGGCTGTCCCGGAGCCGCATCACCAGGACCTGGGGGAAGAGGCAGAGAGCACACGCCCACCGTGGAGTCAGAGGCCTGGGGCCTAAAACAGGGGCTCCAGGAAAGAAATCCTTGACTTTCTATAAAGTGATTCTGATAATAATTTGACTTTCTGATATAAAATGAAGAATTTACTTTCAACAGGGAAGATCCTGCTACTCAAGAGTTGCCGGTCTCTGGGTGGTGGCGTTGTGCCTAAGGCATTTGACTGCTGACCAGAAGGCTGGCGGTTCAAACCCACCAGCCACTCCTCTGAAGGAAGATGGGGGGCAGTCTACTTCCATAACGATACTGCCTCAGAAACCTAACAAGGCGTGGCTATGAGTCAAAATTGACTTGATGGCATTGAGTTTGGCTTTTTTGGTTTGGGTGGTGCAAACGGTTTGGGCTGACCTACTAACAAAAAAGTTGGCAATCTGAAGCCAGCCAGTGGTACCTAGGAAGAAAGGCATGGTGATCTGTTTCCATGAGATTAACAAAAGCAGCAAACCCATTGCCTTCTAGCTGATCTTGATGCACGGTGACCCCATGTGATACAGAGTAGAACTTCTCTATAGAGTTTACATGGCTGAAATCTTTGCAGAAGCAGATTTGACAGGCCTTTCTCCCATGGCAGGGTGGGTTCAAACCACCAACCTTGGGGTTACAAGTTGACCACAAACTGTATTTGCCACCCAGGACCTTCATGTAAGATGGCAGCCATTCAAAACTCTATGAAGTGCGGTTCTGGCCTGCAGCATAGGAGGCTGCAAGAAGTCTGAATCTACCACCTGTTCTTTTTGTGTTGGTTGGTTTTAATTCTGAGAAGTAGTGTAACACACTGATGAGAACCCTGACCTTGAAGATGCTCTGGGTTCTAATCCCATCCCTATCACTTCCTGGCCATGTGACCTTGGGCAGGCTATTTAACCTCTCCGAGAGATGGGTGAGGGGAGTATCTGTGTTACAAGAGATGCTGTCAGCATTTAATGAGTTAAATTATGTAGAAGGTTTGGCTGAATGCTTGGCATGTATATGACATACTCCGTCCACATTGGAAATTATTAATATTTATAGCAGCTTTCATTCCTCTCAAGGTTTAGGAGGTGGAGCGGTACAGCAGAGAGAACACTAGACTAAAGGGCTAAACCCCTTCCGCCATGTGAAGTGTGGTGTCCTGATTTGTAAAACAAGGGGGTTGGATCTGGTAATCTCTCAGGAGCCTCAGCTCTAACATTTACAGCATTTTTCCTTTTCCATGGGAAAAAGATCCACAAAGAAACAGTGGAAAAGTGCTCTGGACGTTGCTAAGCTGCAGAAGACAAACCCAAGGGCTGTTCTGCAGAATTCCTTCACTGGTCAACAAGCTTGGAATCAACTGATCACATGTTGACACAGGATGGGGCACCCAGGAGTATTTTAGTCCTTTGTTAAGTACTCAGGGCCCCAGCACTCCATGACCTGGACCTGCTTTTCTGCTAAATTCACATAGAGATGGTAGAGGGAAAAGTGAATTGGGTTCAACTTAACGTGTTTCTACTCTCTTTTTTTTCCCTTCTCTGTTGTCACTTAGCTGTGCTAGAATCAAGTAAGAACTGATCTGTGATACACCACGGTGTTCCCTATTAAATCATTTTAAATGTGTAGACCACAGCTTCATGGTGGTCTGCAGAGAGAGAGTCAGGCCTTTAAGGATGACATATCAGAACCACTGGGATCAAGGCAACGAAGAATTTCCTTGTGTTTATCATTCTTAGCAGCCTTATTGGAGACCAAATGTCTATCAGGAGATTGGGAGAAAATGTTTCAGAGTGAGGACTTCAACCTCCTATTGTATAGATGTGCTGTTACACTGTGGTCTACAGACCACAGCTGGTCTACCAACTGGCTACAGAGAAATTGGAACCAGGGACCAGGATGGCATAATGGGCAAGTGTCCACCCACTCTTTTCCCAGACACTATCCACTTTTATTAACTGGAAACCAAAACCCGCCCCAGCCTAATGTTCTCTCACTGAACTCCTAAGCCTTACGATGAATGAGGCCACTATAAAAAATTCCCAGCATGCCACCATGATTTGAATTCAGCAGTATTCTTGACATGCTAACCACTGAGCTAAGCATTCTGATCATGACCAAAACCAACGAGTTGCTGTTAAGTCCTTTCCTATGCATGGCAACCCCATGTGTGTCTGAGTAGAACTGTGCTCCATAGGGTTTTCAATGGCTGCAGTCTCTTGGAAGGAGGTTGCCAGGTCCTTGTTTGGAGGCATCTCTGGTAAACTCGACCTGCCAATCTTTTGGTTAGTAGCCAAGCACTTAACCATTGTGCCACATGGGGAGTTAAAGCCTGACAGTGTGGTTTTGTCTTGAGCAGTCATATGACCTTCCTGATACCATCTTTTCATTCATCACATGGGGCCTACACTACCTGCCCTGTGGGGTTGTGGTGACATCAAGTGGAATGGAAAAGAACTTTGATGATTGAAATGGCCTCTCCGAAAGCCCCATGTCACTGGCCTACAGAGCTGAAGAGGTAGATACCTTCTTGCGTTCCCAGCCTAAGGGCAATGTGAATGTCATTATTGGGCAAGTCTCAGCTGTCTGTCAAGGTCCACGCCACCTCCTCCTGGAAGCCTCCTTGATTCTCCATCTGAAAAGATCTCTGCACTCCAAACCCCACAGGCTCCTCTCCATGGTATGGGTATTTATGTACATGTCTTAGCCACTTCTGCAAAGCTCTATGCTTCTGGAAAGTAGAATCTGTTTACACATCTGTCTGCCAGGCAATCAAGCAGGGCCTATATGAGATCAAAAGGTCAGCATTTACTCTAATGCAAAGATGAGATGATAAAGGGGCCGGAAAACTAGAGTACTAGAAGTAGAGCAGCCAGAACACAATTACAGAGAATGTCGACACTCTGTGAAAAATGTAACTAATGTCACTGCTGAACAGTGTATACAGAAATTGTCAAATTTATTGTGTAAACTTCCACCAAAAACACAATAAAATATTAAAAAAAAAAAAAAAAAAGAACAGGGCCTAGCACATACTAGGTGCTTAATACATTTCTGTTCAAAATGAGTGTTCAGTTTATAAGTAGATGAGTGGGTGGAAGGAGACAGGAAGAATGGATCAGTGGTTATACTCACAGGAAGGCAGAGGGGTTGAGGGCTGAAGGATCAAGGAATAGAGTAAGAGAAGAAAGAATGAGGGGAAAATGAAGACCAAATGGAGCGGGGTGGATAGATGAATGGACAAGTGAGGATGTTTGGAGATGAGTAAGACGGATGGATGGAAATAGGTAGGTGGACGAATAGATGACTTGTTGGTCAGTTGGTAGAAAGATGGACAAAGAGAGAGAGGGCACACAGAAGAAGAGAAGGGAGAGAACTCGGATGGGGAACGGATGAGCAATGTATAGTCAGAGAAGGTTGTGTGAGTAGATAGATAGACAGTGGGAGGAAGGACAGAGCTTACACAAACGCCCTCACTGGTCTACATCCAAGCAGTGTTTACGTGTCAGTGTTGTTAGGTGCTGTCAAGTCGACTGCAACTCAAAGTGACTTCATGTGATGGAGTAGAACTGTCCCATAGAATCTTCTAGGCTGTAATCTGGAAGCAGATCACCCAGTCTTTCTCTGGCTGGAGGGGTTCAAATCTCCAACCTTTAAGTTAGCAGCCAAGCACTTAACCATTGTCACATCAGGGCTCCTCCTCTGTGTCAACCAGTACCTCAAATCTCTTGATCTGCACTCTCTGGAACTCTGTCTTGTTCTCCAGATCACAGATGATTGCCTCCTGCCTGCTGACGATGGCTCTATCCACCGTGGACTGCTCCAGGTACTCGATGTGCATCTGAGCCACCTGCAGCTGGGGGCAAACCCGAGAGGTCCATTGGCCACCTGTTGGCCCAGAAGCCCAGGACACGGACACATGCACGACCCAGCCCTGGGCCCACACATACCACCTCCCTTTCTGCTCAGGTGCCGCAGGTTGAATGTCTGCAGAAGCAAGAGCTGCTGGGCTCTGATCTGAGGACGCTGACTGAACCCTCCCACCGGCTCCTGCCCCTGGGTCTCGGTTGCTGGGAAGCAATGTTTCCTGGGCCTTCAGCATCCAAAGCAGGACTTTCAAACAGTGCTTCTCTTACCTTCTTTCCATAACATGCTAAAGGAGCAAAGCCAGTCTGCAAGCAGCAAACTTTAGCATCAGGGGACAGAGCCAAGGGTGGGTCTGGGGACAGGGCACACATACCAGTGTTCAAAACCTGGCTCCAGCACTTTCCAGCTCAGTGAAGCTGGGCAAGTCAGTTTCTTCATTTTTGTTTGGAGGAGTGAATGAGATTAGTGACTGGCATGTAATAATGTTGTTGTTAGGTGCCATCAAGTCGATATCGACTCATAGTGACTGTATGTGACAGAACTCCACAGGGTTTTCTAGGCTGTAATCCTAACAGCAGGAGCTCTGGTATCATAGTGCCTAAGGCACTTGACTGCTAACCAGAAGGCTGGCGGTTCAAACCCACCAGCCGCTCCTTGGAAGCAAGATGGGGCAATCTACTTCCATAGTGATACTGCCTTGGAAACCCAAGGAGGGGCCGCTATGTGTCAGGTCTGACTCGACAGCACATAACAACAACAACAATCCTAACAGCAGCAAATGGCCAGGTCTTTATCCCAGGGAGCCACTGGGTGGTTGGAACCACTCACCTTTTGGTTAGCAACCAGGTGCTTAACCACTGTGCCACCAGGTCTCCTTGGCACATAATAGTACCAAACCCAAAACCATACTCACTGCCGTCAAGGCGATCCTGACTCATAGAGACCCTCATTGGGTTTCCAAGGCTGTCAATCTCTATGAAAACAGACTGCCTCATCTTTCTTCTGAGGAGCAGCTGGTGGGTTTGAACCACTGACCTTTTGGTTAGTAGTCAAGTGCCTTAACCACCAGACCAGCAGGGGTCCTTATAATAATAAGCACCCAGCTGCTATTATTTGTTGTTGTGTTTGCTGTTACTCAGGCATTTCCTGGAGATGGGGTCACTCTGTCCATAATGCTCAGCAGACACATGCAGTGGTCCTCAAAGGGCTTCAAGGGTTTCGTGGATAATAGCAGCCCACCAATGATGGGGAAGTCAGAGATGTTGGGAGGTACTTCAAAGAAAGACTTCTCAAATGGCCAAGATCCCATCTTGCACAAACCATCCTCTGTCTCTCAAAGCTATTTTCTCAAAGGGAGGAAAGCCTGCACTGAATAGGCTAATGGGTCCCATTGCATATGGTGTCTTTGGATGCTGAACAGGCACAGGGCACAGGCAGGCGTGTGTGAATGTGTGTGTGTGTGCATGCACGCACGTGCTCCCATTGTTCTCGACTCATCTGGCACTCAACTGGAGCTGAGTGAGTGTTGAAGGAATGAATGTGAAGGAATGAACGACAGCTTCCAGGAGCCAAAATGTGTACACCAAGCAGGACGCCTCCCCTCCCACTCCACACACGATGGGGAGCAGCAGCACCCCAAGCACATACTTGTTCTTGGAGCTTGTGCTTCTCCTTATTGGCTTCCTCCAGCTGCAGTTGCATTTCTTGAATCTGCCCAATGTCAGCAGCAGACTGATGAGGCAAAAAAAAAAAAAAAAAAATCACTCTGAGATCATGGATGTGTTGGGAAACCATCCTCAGAACTGCCTTCTCCCCCAACCCACAAATACCTAAGTCTCATAGAGCTTGTATCATCACAATGTTAGTGTTGCTGTTAGTGGCTATGGAGTCAGGCCCCAACTCAGGGTGACCCTATATACAATGGGATTGGATTAGTGGGATCCATAGGGTTTTCACTGGCTGATATTTCACAAAGAGACTGCCAGGACTTTCCTCCTGTAAGACAATAGCTAGCCCCCAAAGTTACCCTTTCCTGCCAACATCCTTCATGCAACTTTAACTGAGTCACTGCTCATTGTGCCCATGGCTTTTCTCAGTTGTCCAGTACTTTTCTACCCTCTGGACAGCCCAGACTGAAACGTGCTGGCCGCTGGGACCAAAGTCCATGGAGAGAGAACTATCTGATGTCAGGTAACAAGGATGCCAGAGCTGGCTATTGGCCTTGACAAGCCACGGCACCTCTCTGCACCTCCGTATCCCCATCTGTCAAATGAACTGATTGTCTCTGGGTGGCCCTTCTATGTAAGATTTATTCAGATATTAAACAAGGCAGTGGAGAGTAAAGGTTCTTAAAAAAAAAAAAAAAGAAAAAAGTACAATTAAATGATTGTGATTACCTCGGAAGAGAGACATTCTTGAAGGTAGAGGGGCCCTTACTTTCTATTTTCCACACATAGGTATTTATGTTTATTGTGGCTTGGGTGGAAGTCTACAGAGAAAATTAGTTTCCCATTCAAGAATCCACACACAGTTTGGTTTGTAAAGTTAGCTCCAATCCCCTCAACGTCACAGCGCGCTTCCTGCTTCCTGCCTGGGTTCCCTGTGTCCGTGTGTCCTTCCTTCCTGCCTTTTGAGCTTTGTTTGGGGGCAAATGCTGCCCTTTTGATTGACTATTGATTTGGTTGATTATTCCTCAGGAGTATTACTGTTTGCTTTATAGGCCTGTCTGGTTTTTGGCTGTAAGCTCATCCCTAGGGGTGGGTTCAGTTCCAGGTCTGAAGGGTATCTAAGGCCCACAGTCTCAGGGGTTCCACCAGTCTGTCAGACCAGTAACTCTGGTCATGATTATGATTTTGAATTTTGTTCTACAGTTTCTCCCATTCTGCCCAAGAGCTTCTGTGGTCCCGATCAAAGTGGTCAGCAGTGGTAGCCAGGCACCATCTAGTTCTGGTCTCAGGGTGGTGGTGGCAGTGGTTTCCAAGGCCCATTAGTCCATTGGACTAATTGTTTCCTTGAGGCTTTGATTTTTGTTACTCTTCTTTGTTCCAAATGGTGAGAGGCCAATAGTTGCATCTTAGATGGCTGCTCACTAGCTTTTAAGACCCTAGTCACTACTCACCACAGCAGGGTGTAGAACATTGTCTTTGTGAACGATGTTATGCCAGTTGAGTTAGCTGTCCCCCAAGACTGTGGTCCTCAGCCTCTAAGCTCAGTAATTCATTCCCTCAAGGTATGTGGTTATGGCTAAGAAGTTCTCATAACTTTGTCCCCTATATGTCTACTATATACATTGTTGTTGTTAGGTGCCATGAACAAAATGAAACACAGCCTGCACAATCCTTGCTATATGTGAGCCCATCATTGTAGCCACTGTGTCAGTCCATCTTATTGAGGGTCTTTCCTTTTATTGCTGACCTTCTACTTTACCAAGCATGATATCCTTCTCCAGGAACTGGTGTCTTTGACAACTATATACACAGATACATTTATTTACAACACATACAAATATGTATGTAGAAATAGCCTCGGCCAAACCTACATATGGTTGTGTGTGTAGTCCCTTTCTACTACCTGTACCTGTTCAACCTGTCTGTCTGCCTGTGTATCCACTCCTAGATTACTGTTTGTTACTCCTGATGCTGCAGGATTGTGTCTGTGATAGTGTTCCCCTTGGTTGTTTGTAACTCTTGTGCACCTCTCAGTGTCTTCTTTGCCTTAGTGATATTGTGCTGATACTGTGTCCTTCCTTACACCCAATTAATATGTGTGTATTATCTTTGTTAATAGCCTTCCCTCCCCTCCCCTCCCATACATATGCAATGGGTGTGTGCATACACTGATTTTATAATTAAGCAAACAAAGAAACTTCCATTTTGGACCAAATAAGTGTGATTCACAGATGCAGAAGGTGCCACAGGGTATCTCTGTGGTGGCTGTTATAATATAAATGATACAGTTGATTATTTTTGTGATCATTGTCATTGTGTAGCAGAAACTACCCCAGATGTACTCTCTGTAGGACACATTTGAAACCTGGCAAGCATTTTACCAGGGATCTCCTGGGACACAATGTGGGGAAGACACTCATTGCTCCCAGAGGGAGCTGTTGTTCCCAGTTTCATAGACCAGAAGTCAGCTGGGGACCCTCATCACATCCCTTGACACCCCCTCCTAAGCCTCTGTTTTGCCACTGAGCCCCCTAGTTGTCTCCTGAGTCCACCCACTCCTCCCCAACTCCACTCTACCTCCCTGGACCAAGCCATGGTTGTCTCAACTGGAGTACTGCAGCGTTCATTTCTTCATGAGCCATCTACTGAGCACACGCTAAGAGCCGGGCACCCTTCTAGGCTCTGAGTTATGTGATGGATGAGAAAGAAGAGAACCCTGCCCTCATGGGCTGAAAGTCTGGGCTGGCATCCTGGTTAGTCCTCCATCCCTGCCCGTGCCCCTTAGAAAGCTGACCAGTGGTTCCCATCACCCATAAAATAAAATCCAAACTCATCACAGCCTCCACGACCTGCATCTGGTCCTCCTCTGCCAACCTCATGGAGCCACCTCATTCCACACTCCCCTGACTGACCTCCTTTCAGCCTTTCAAACACACCACCAAACATGTGCTGTTCCCTCTGCCTGGAACACTGCCCTCCCTCCACCTTTGCTGCCCTACTCCACTCGAATTAACTGCTGCTGCTTGTTCAGATCTTCATCCAAGTGCCACTTCCTCAGGGAAGCCTTACCTAACCCCCAACCGAAGTCAGGATTCACTGAATCATGTTTATGTTCTTTCTAAACTCAGCTCAGTTTGCAAGCCTCTGCTCAGCTCTGCGTGGCTGTGGTAAGGTCTGTCCAGTCTGCCAACCCATGAGCTATATGATGGCAGGAACAGAACATGCTTACGTTCACACAGTATCTTCAGCGTTTCTCAGTGTGTAACACATAGCACGTGCTCAGTAAATATTGAATGCATAAGCAGATTGGTGGAATGGTAGATGGACAGGTAGAAGAAAGGATGGATGGATAAATGGATGAGTGGGTGGGTGGATGAGTAAGTGGGTGAAAGGATGGATGGGTAAATGGATGAGTGGGTGGGTGGATGAGTAAGTGGGTGAAAGGATGGATGGGTAGATGGATGAGTGGGTGGGTGGATGAGTAAGTGGGTGAAAGGATGGATGGGTAGATGGATGGACAAATGGGTAGAAGGATGATAGAAAGAAGGGTACACGGATGGCAGGGTAGATTGATGGAGGAGTGGACAGTAGGGTGATGATGGATGGATGAGTATAAGGATGGGTTGATGAGTAGACAGAGGTATGAATTAAATTCTTTCTTGGTGGAGATGTCCTCCAGATATCACACACCATATGACAGTGACATTCTTCTCCCTTAGGGCCACATAAACTTTTACAATTCATATTGATCACTGTGGCATTTATCTCTCCAAGGCCCTAAGATCAGGAAGCCACTCAACCATATCACCCTTACAACATCCCCCACCCTCCTAGCCCAAGGCCCCTGAGCCTTCTCGCACCATTACCTGAGCAATGAGGTCCTTGTGCTTCTGCATGAGCTCGTTCAGGTCATCCTGGTCCTCATCAATGCGCTTCAGGAGGTCTGCCCTCTCAAACTGCAGCCGGTACAGCTGCTCATCCACCTGGTGGGAGGCAGGACCATGGGGTTGGGTGAGGTGGAGGGTAGGGGAGCAGCAGGGCCTTGATGAAGAGCAGAGAGATGCTTACCTGAGCATGTCAGGTGAGTAACCATCTGCCTATGGCCATGGGTGTGCCAGTGCCTGCTGGGGGGATGTGCATGACAAATGGGGAGCTACATGGTCACGTGTGACAGCTGTGTGTTTGTGTGTCCATATTGGGCATGCACTTGACTGTGTGAATGCAGTGTGCATGTACGTTGAATGGATGTACATCTGTGTAAGCCCACCTGGGAATCTATGTATGTATATTTATAAAGGTGCATAACACATATGAGTGAGTACACATCCCTGTCATCTACCTGAGACCAGACATTTAGCTTTGTTTGCAGATGTATCTCCAGTACTAGGCATCATATCTGGCACTTAGCAGGGACTCGATAAATATGCTTTGAATGGATGGATGGCTTTGGGTACTTATATTATTTATGAGGGTATTAATTTTGTATGTGTCTAATGGTTACGTAGGTGACTGTTTATGTGTTTCCCTGCATATCTGTGTGTATATTTGTATGTGGCTCTGTGTGGCCATGTTCCTCTTCATTTAGTGCAAAGAAACTCTGGGACAAAAGAGCCAATTTTAATCTTCCGACAAACTTTTGCCTTCAGATCTGTAGTAACATGTAAAGTTCAGGATTTTGAACATGTCAAGTCCAAGTTTAAGTCAGCCCTGTACACCCAGACAGGGAACTTAGAAACTCAGGCAGTTTTCATCAGTATAATAGATCCAGAATATATGTTAGTTTCTCCTTCCCCTTTTCTAGGGAAGTCTATAATACAATGACCGTGTCCCCCATCCAATGGTGAGTACACAATAACCAAAAAACAAACCCACTGTTATCGAATTGATTCTGACTCATAGCAACCCTATACAATGCAGTAGAACTGCCCCATAGGGTTTCCAAGGCTGTAAATTTTTACAGAGGCAGACTGCCTGGTTTTTCTCTTGCGGAGTGGCTGGTGGGTTTGAAGTGCTGACTTTTTGGTTAGCAGCCAAATGCTTTAACCACCTGAGCTCACAACGGGTCCTTAATAAATGGTGGGTCACCTTATGGTAGTAAGCATACCTGAGTCCATGAGAGATGCCCTCATCTTTACTTAAAGGAGTGGACACAGAGTAGGCCAACGATAATGACCAAATCCCCATTTATGGCAGCGAGTGTACAGTAGGACTAGTACAGATGCCTGAGGTGGTTTTTTTTTTTTTTTTTTGCTGAGTCTCTTGGGTTTTCTAAGTATAGGCTCATATCATCAGCAAATAGGAATAGTTTGACTTCTTCCTTACCAATTTGGATGCATTTGATTTCCCTTTCTTGCCTTATTGCCCTGGCTAGGACTTCCAGTACAATGTT